TTCAGGTTCAGGCTTCTAGAAGAGGTTGGTGCCAAACGAGAGCACACGCGCTCGACATTGTATTCTTCTGTGAAGACGAGGTTTTGGTCGTGCTTCAGTGGCACAACATCACCGAGTGCCTTTTCACACGAGTAAGTTGGAAGGAAGATCGTGGTTTGGCCAACCTTTGGCAGCGTAATCGGGGCTGAAATGATCTTGCCCTGCTTGACCATGTTCTCAATGACGTTCTGCGCCTCCTGCTTGCTAAAATTGAACACGAACTTGGATTTGGCAGTCTTCAACTGGTTCAGTGTGAACCAGTCTTTGCGCTCCTCGCACAGCCACTGACGGAGCTGTTGAACAGTCTGCTTTTCTTCATCTCGGTGAGCGGCGATCATAGCCTGAGCTTGAGAGACGTCTTGGTTACTTCTGCCAGTCTCGCCTGAAGGCTCTTTTGACATGAGAGATTCCAGAGTTTCCTGCACCGGATCGGCTGTTGCCGTTTCATCCGGAGTCAGACCACAACTGCGCCGCACAGTCGCCAGAGTCAAACCACCGTCACCGCCACGAACAACATACTTTTCCAGGACATCACGACATTGGAAAGCGGTGCGACTTCGCGCGTAGTTCCACAAGCAACGCAGTGTCACCAAACAGGCAGGCCCGTCCCTTAAGAAATCCTTTAAGGTGGGATCCCGCGGGAAAATCCCATGCCTTGCAGCCAATTCCTGCTTGCCGGCTATGCGGACCTCATCCACGAAGACGCTTTTGTACTTGCACACTGCCGTCCGCCGAAAAATGGAGTTCAGGGTCTCTTCTGTGACTCCTGCGAACCTGCCCAGTAGAGAGGAGCTCTAAGTTACAGTCGAACATCAACGAAACATCACAGGCGTGGTTAACTCAATCTGCAGCTGAGCGACTTGGGAGCAGTGTTCAGCTCGAATCTTTTCCATCCCCGCAGTTCCACCAGTGCCGTGTGGATGGCGTACGGCAGGCGTTCGGGGACTTTGTCTGCGGAGATGTGTTT